AAAAAGAGATAAACTCAAATGTGAAGCAAACAAGGGTGCGGATTGCTCAAAATCTTATTGTATTCACAAGCTCCGCTGATCCTATTTTGACCCAATGCTGCGTGAAGAAGTAAACACCTACAACTTGCGAGCATCAAGATTCGGATCGAAGTCCACAGCAAATCAGCTAAGACTCAAGATCAAGCTTCAAGAGATTTATAGATAGAAATATTGTAACTCATAGTTGATAGGCACAGCTAGCTTAGCTTTGATTTTCCTTTTGGTATAATAAAGGGGGTCAGCAAGCAATAGCAGCAGCAACAGCAGTGAAATCACAGCTCCTGGTAGTCCCAGCTACCAAACACTCCCGAACTACACTGACCTGATTCCTTTTTAGCCAAGGATATGTAGGCAACCTCAGAAGCAGGGTGCGGTCAACTCTTTCAAAATGCTTCACACGGAATATTCGAATGGGCAAAAATCGCTCATTTCCGCTCACTTGTCTTTGTACGAAAACTCTTCGTGTTTCCGGGCAAAGAGGGGCAGCTGTGAGCACGTGATTTTTGCCCTAAGCAAATTAATTCCAAAAGTTTCGAATAATTGATGTCCTAATTATTTTACAATATTTGTGAATTTTTTGTTAAATTTTTGTGTTAATTGGTTGCATTTTTATTCATATGAAAATACAAAAATATGCATCTGCATTTAGGGATTTAATTCCATAATTTTAGTATTAATTAGGTATTAATTAGTTTTAGAACAAATTTAAAGAAAATTGCAAAAAAAAAAAATAGTTTCTTTGCACTTTTATTTGTTATTTGTTAAATGTAGAGTATTAAATAATTTTTAGAAGTTAAATAGTTTAATTAGGTTTTGTTTTGGCATTTTATAAAATCAGAAAAATAAATAAATACAAAAAATACAAAAATAAAATACAAAAGCAAGTCAATAAAAGAAAGCAATTAAAAGAATAAAGAAAAATGGCTGCCAAGAATTGGGCCAAATCACCCAGCCCAATTAATTAAACCCAAATCCGTCCAGAATTAGCCTACCCAGCCCAAGACCCGCGTCACAACCCGGTCCAGTTCCCCCATAACTCAAAACGACGTAGTTTAGTCCTCAATTAATCCTAGCCGTCTAGGTTTTTGATCTAACGGTTGAGAACCCCCCCATCACTTAATATATATATGTCTGAACAACCCCTACCCCCTCAGGACCCCCTACCCTTCATCTCTCTCAGACCTCGCCGAAAAAACCCTAACTCCGCCGCCCTCCGCCGCCGGCCGAAAATCGTTGCCGCCGGCGGCGAAGCTCCAAATGGCCCCAAAATTTCACCATAAACTCGCCTTTCCCCCCTCTTTCCAACCCTCAAAGTAATTTCCTTCGAATCACTACTAATCGTCTCAAATATTAGATCGAAATTTCCGGCCAAAATACAACCTTGTCCAAACCGGCCCAAATTCACACCCCATGGCCTCCTCGACTCCCTCTTCCCAAATCCCAAACCAAAACCATTCAAATCCAGGTTGAGCCTTTCGAATTTTAGATCTAGGGTTTCATTCAAGACGGGTCGAATTTTTCAAGGCTCACCAGTGTTTGATTTGAGTTCCCAATAAGGTTATGTGCTTGTTCTGGGCAAGAACAAGCATATAACATTATTTGGGGATTCGATTCAGGGTCAGTCGATTAGGAAACCAAAAATCAGTAAGTTTCTTTTTTCTTTGTTTGATTTTCCTTTTATTTCGTTTAGTTTTTGTTTATTTTTCTTCTTTGCTTTGCATAATAACTTCGTTCAGTTATGGTATCCTCTCTTTAATCAATCAGTGTTTATGTTAATTAATTTAGAATTCTTAGGGTTTTAATTGATTTTGTTCTGTTAATTCTGCCTTGTTTTGTTTTTATTTTGATTTAATTTTTTGTTCTGTTTTGATTTCTGTTGGTTTGATTTAGTGTTTGGGTTCGATTAATTGATCCATGAATGTTATTGTTAATTTGATTTTAGTTTCAATTCTGTTCGTTTACTGTTAAATTCACTGCTTATCTTGGATTAGTTAGTTTTGATTTTTGAAACTTAAAGTAGGATAATTAGACGCTTAGTTCAATTTTAGAGTTGTTTGGATATAGCTGTTTAATCCAGCAGGTATTTTGTTTAACCATAGTCAGTCTTGACCAAGGTAATAGGGCCAGGTTTAGTGTGATATAGGTCAGTGATTTCAAAAATAGTTCAAGGGTATTTTGGTAATTAGAGTAGGATAAGAATGCTGTAGATTACACTAGAACAGCTTAGACCCTTCTAGAATGGGACCTTAGTGCATATTTTACAACTTAGGGATGTTAACTTGGGCAATAAGTCAGAAATTTTAAGGACTAACTAGCTGAAAACAAAGTCAGGGAAGGATCAAAGGGTAAAATTAAAAGTTGAAGCAGCCCTAGAAACTTGCCTATAAAGGCACTGTTACTTAGGGCTGAAGGCAAATTTTTAGAAAAAGAAAAGAGGCATAAAAAGGCTGAAAAGTTTCTGCAACTCTAGGCAACAAAACTCCAAGAAATACCATTTTATTGAAGTCTCTTAGATCAATTTCGAGTTTCAGCTCCTACATTCAAGTTTCTAGCTTAGATTAAAGATGAAAATGACTTGAAATTCCTTGTGTTTGGCTGCTGAAGTTCAGAGTTCGTTTCTGGGTTTAATTTCAATTTTGTGTAGGCTCATTCAAGTTGTTTTGGGTGGTTTACTGATTGAAATTTGTCCTGGGCTATTCGATACTGCTTCTGGGTTTACAATAAATCTCAAGCTGTTGATTCCTGTTATTATACTGCTGTTGAAGTTGCTGACTCTACCTTCTTCTCTTATTTTGCCTTAATTCCAGGTACACTTCCTGTAGCTTTCGAGAGTTGGAAATGGATTGAAATGCTACTTATTTGTTTTTTTTCTCGTCTAAATTCATTGCTGTATTATTAGATAGATTCAAAACTCTATTGTATTTTCATATAAATAATTAAGGACTGTTTGGAAGTAAGATATGTAATTGTTAGGCTAGAAATCGGTTTGTTAGCACATTATAACTGTTTATATTGGACCGTACGAACTATTTTGGACTCATACGATTATTATAAATGTGATACAGATTATAGTTTAGTAAGTGTTAACCTGGTAATTAGATGGACTTGAGGTTCAATTCCAGATTAAGGTGCTATTTAGCTCATAGGAACTGCATTGGTTAAATTCAATCTAGCCATCTCTTTTGTTTGAGATTTCAGCTGCGTTAGAGTGATTGTTGAAAACAGGTAAAAAAAAAAAGTATATGTGCTAAGTTCAGCCAAACACGACACATGCCTTTACATTTTAGTTTTGAAATCAAAGCAGCGTTTCTATATCATGACTGAGTTTGATTGCCTTAATTCAGTTGTCAAATCCTCTAACTATTTACAAGATTCCGTCAGTATAGATCTGAATAGCAAATTTAGATTTAAATTGATAGTTGTACTGAATTTGAAGTTGAAGCCGTCTCAGTAATTTTGTTTGGGCTCGTCCATAGGCCCAGAGTTGGTAGCCCACGCCATTTGTCCTGGGCATCAACATTATTGACGCAAGGCCTAGTTCCAGCTCTACCTACTTTCCCAATTGGGCTTGCGTCAAGGCCCAAAGTTGATAGCAGTCCACAAAATGATTTCACTTTTATTCTGTTGGGCCAAGTTCAAAATTCAATGCTGAAGGCTTGAAAATGTAACATAGGTTTTGGGCTTTCAAGTTAGGTAGCGAATTCAAATTAAGAGGTTTTCCCCTTTTGTTTGAGTTCGGACTTGAACTTGAGGCCCGAATTTTATAATGCTAATTAATTAGGGCCTCTTTTAGAGACAACACTGTAATAGAAAATCATAGTTTCTTTTAGGATGGCCTTTAAATAAAAATGAGACGAGCCTCGCCGCACAAAACATATAAATTGCGGGGCCCTCATTAAATACTTAATTAAAATACTTAGAAATTCGGGACATGCCATTTAGCGAATTTTCATGGCTTCCCGCAAAGTGAATAAGACGCTAGCCATTTTAGGCGCGCTTTTTAATAATTTTACCTTCTTAAATACGGGTGCACATTTATGTAACCCAAATCCAAATCCCAAAACGTTGAATAAGAGGTGTTGAGGATCCGGGTGCATTTCATGTGACGTGATCCAAAAACACGCTCTTAAACGGCGTTCACTTTCGTAAAAATAACTGAAGCGGTAAATAATCTCAAAAAATTGCATTGTAGGTTGGAATGTGTATAAAAATCAGATTTTTAGCCATTTATAATAATTTAAGCGACCGTGCTAGAACCACGGGATCCGGGGGTGCCTAACACCTTCCCTCGGGTTAACAGAATTCCTTATTCAAAATTTCTGGTTCGCAGACTCCAATTGGGAAGTCAAAATTTTTCCTCGATTTGGGATTCAAAATTAAACCGGTGACTCGGGACACCAAAAGCCAATCCTATCCCAAGTGGCGACTCTAAAAAATAAATAAATAATCTCATTTCGAATAATGTCACTTTAAATGGAAAAACTCCCTTATACATTATCCTTCGGGGTAGGTGTGTAAAAAAGGAGGTGTGACACCGGCTCAAGCAAAGAAATTAAAAATTGACATTCCTTGACAATCCAGATGACTACTCAAATATCTGGAATTTAGACATGGACGTTTGACGATGAAAAAATCCATAGTTTGACCAAGGAAAAACCAATTCAACTTTCAACCCTCTAAAACCTCTTCTATTGATTTCTTGATGAAAATTAGCTATTTTGCTTTAACATTAACAGAACTTCCAAGCCCCGATATGAACACCTATTTTTCCTCTCCTTTTTTCAGACAGGAAATAGCAGTTGCTACTAATTAGTAATTCTGCAATAAACAGCATCTGAATGATGAAAATTTAGAGCTCCATTGCCAAAAGTAATAAAGAAGGTAAGATATTTGGAGTTACTGGCACACCTTATGTTCTTTTTTATGAGAGCCAGAATGAGTTTAAGTTTTATGCATTGATAGAACAAAAGATTTTTATACAATTAGATCACTTCTTAGATAATTACAGACAGGTTTCTTGATATGAACTACTTGGTAATCGGATAAAAATGGCCGTAACTAACTTGCTATCACAGGTTAAATTCGCTAATAGTGTAAAATAATATTTACATTGCCCGTGCATATGACTTAAATCCTAGCCAGAATAAAGATGGAAAAGCTTCCTTGACGTGTCACATTGAGCCAAGCCCGTATATTTCATCATCCACTATTGTACTCATATTTCTAAATGTATACAAATGTAGCAGAAAAAGTGGTCAAAACAAGAGCAGACATACCACTACGCAACAGAAGAGGAAAAAATATACTCTACCAAGTGATTTATCAGCAAGTAATAGTTGCCGTCTCATTCTCAAACTACTGCTCCCTGCTTGGTGATATGAGTTTGGATATGAATACAACGTTGGTGATGCGTTTGCAAATACTCGTGCATAAACCATTTCCTCAATCATGGGATTTAACACATTTGATGACGTGCCACCAAAGCTGAGCATGGGTGAGGCCATGTAGGGCTGATGAGTTTGAGGCTGCGGCGAATTACTTCGATGGTGAAGTTGTTGGGATGAATATGAATTGGTAGTTGTTATCACCGTGTGACCGCCACATCTCAGACTTGGAGGTCTTTGTGGTATGACCATAGCATTACTATGAACGTCATCTTCAGATGGCTTTGTAGCTTGGCCGCGGCCATAGAGTGGAATCAACGTCTTCTGTGAGACTTCAGCCTTGCAAACAGGGCATTGTGGCTGTTGGTGATCCGAATTTTCTGAAGGAATGCTTTGGAATTGAATCCACTTGTAAATGCAAGGCCAGCAATAGAGGTGACCACAAAATGTAACCACGGGATCGTGCACACAATCCAGGCATATGTTACAATCAAAACCACCAGAGGGATTGTCTTCGAGGTCATCATCACACGTCGTCTTCCACTTCTCTAAGGGAGTATCACGCTCGTCAAAAGCTGTCTCTGTTATTTGCTCTCGGAAATGAAGATCTAGGGCCATGTCCTGCTTTTCGATGTAATTTTCTTGATTGCTAGTGCCTGTAGAAAACATATGCCAAGAGGTAAAAGATTAAATTGCAGGAACTCGATACAGCTAGAACCAATAAAATTCGGGAGCTTTTTTTCCAAATTTTGTTTTCAAATATCTGTTTGTTTATAGATTATAACTATTTTTTGGCGGATTCTAAAAACAAAATCTTCAAATCCCAAAAACAGTTCTAGAGTAGTTTTTGAAGTTTTCTACACAGAAAACTTCAAATTCCTTTCGTATCCAAATACAACTTCAACTTTCAAAATTTATTTTTCAATACAACTCCAAAAACTCTTTTTTTAAAGTTTTGACCAAATCTATATCCAAACGCTAGCCAAGTAATAACAATTTTTTGTTTCTTGAGTACTACCAAAAACAGTTTTCAAATAATCTTTTAAGTTTATATCTTCCTACCTACCCCTCTCCTCCCCCCATCCCAACCAAAGCAAAGAAAAATCTCTTTTTCCAGGTAATTTTTGGGGATTAATAAGGTCATAAGACATAACTCTACCAGGTCAAATCCAGAGCTGTAAATGCAATATCCAAATCTTGCCCAGCTAAAACTTAAAGTAGAGTTCAGATATTAATATTTTGTAAACCACTGGCCTAATTTCTATCCAAATTAAATTAAAACTCTTGAATCTTTTTTCTAGATAAAGGAAAAAGATAAAGTTTGCCACACAACAAATCCAAACCACAAAAAGCTGTAACCTTATCAATCAAATATAAATGAAAAAATAGAAATAAAAAAGGAAAGAAAATAAATACCTGAATATATTTAAATTAAGAATATTGTCCTTTGTAATGTTGTGCTGACTGAGCTAAAGCTAAAAGAAAATGGAGGTTTTTAGATGGAGAAAGCAAGTAGTGAAGATAGAATGAAGGGATTTTGGGTTTGGCTCTATATTTATAGTGTGTTTTACAGTGACGCGCCTATATGTATATGAAATAAATTAGCGCGTGGAGTAATAAAACCTCCGTACCTATTTTACTTGTCAACTTCTTCTGGATAACATCTCAATAGAATAGGGCCGGGTTTTTTTGCCTTCGCCTATTGACGTGGCGCTGACGGAGGATACGGATTACTCGTTTTTCTTTTATTTGGATTTTTCCACTTTCTGTTGCTCTTTTTTGGCTTTTAACAAATATTACTTTAGTTTAGTAGTTAGGAGTATTGAATTTTCTTTAATGAAAAAAAGTACACCGAACTTTTTCCCTACTTTTTCATTTTTCAGTTTTATTGCTGTCTTTATTTGCACTCAAATGATAAGTAAATGCTCAATTCAAGGTAATAAAGGGAGTGTAAATTAAACTCTTTTTGTTTTTGTATACGGTCAAAATCGGGCTTATCCGATTTTACTATTTGATCAAGACAAGGGAGTTTCATCGGGGTAGCCTCGTAATGAATCAGACCCGAGCTCGAAGTCGAGGCATCGAGTCTAAAGATCAAAGTGTCCGTTGAGACCGAGGCCAGTAGCAATCGAGATTAAGTATGACCGACTTTGAGTGAAGTGCAATAACGGAAAGGAGAGATATCCGTAATTGGTCGAAGATCACGGCGGAAATCTCGGAACAGATCAATTCAAGGGCGGTTATTTGTACGAATCATGAGATTTACTTCCGTAATTAGAATTGTACTATAATTAGGATTCCTCTAGTATATAAAGGGGGTCCCCATCATCTGTAAACCCTTACATTCATACAGATCAAGGCAATATAATATTTCTCTATTGTTCATCAACTTGTCGTTCTTAAACTATTCTTACTTTACCACTCTCGAGGGTTCATCAGCTCGAGGGCACTATTCAAGCATCGGTTTGTTTTCTATTCTTGTCAATTCCCTTCACTTATCTCCAAATTAATCAATTGGTATTAAGTGAAATTACGTATCCTTGAAATCACATTACAAGTTTAATTATTACTCAATTTTTAGGGTAAACAGTTTTATTGGATAACATTTTTTGATAAAATTTTATAATTTTTAGTTTGTTCAAAAAAGAACATATTTTTATATATTTAAAGATGTTGCAATAGTTTCTCTATGGTCCACTATAATTAATTTTTTTGCCCGTTTTCACAAGTATTATCCACCTTTACAAATTACAATTATTTGATTAATATTAAGTCAATTCAATCAGTCTTTATCACCCAATTTGATGGACCCCACCCTTTCGTTTTCGTTTCACACTTGCGGCACCTATTGGCAGTTTCTTAATCCTGAGTGCACATGCTATGACTCTATATATTATAATGCTATCAATTAAAATAATAACCAAGTCATCATGTGCTTTATATTTGTAATCAATACTGCAATTAGTATTTTACGCGTTCTTTCAACAAAACAAGTTAGAACTATAATACCTCGAGTCAAATTGCAACTTCAAAACTGTGTGCTAAAATATCTCTATTCTGTAGAAACTAATTTACTAGAGGCTTCTAACATTCAAGAAAGCTATTTAACTGTCAACTTTAATGCAAAATTATGCTAGTACATAGCAACTGGAAACCATCAAATTTTATTTTCTGAAGAGAATTTTACTTTCTTAGAAAGTAAAAAAAAAATTGTACTGTTCTATTGTTAGAAAGTTGTTGCGTCAATTCAGAGGCGGATCCAGGATTTGATAACTGCGGGTGCCATAATTTTTAATGCAAACTTATCATTAATGAAGGAAATTGAATTAGGTTGTACATTTTAGTTGGTTCGATCCGTTTTGAATTAATTCCACTTAGTTGATTTGATCCATTTTAAATTTATTTCGATTTATAAGAATTTTTGTGATCACCAAATTAAATAAATTTTTTCCAATTTGATATAATTCTCTCAATTTAAATTCTATTGAATTATGTGATTAAAAACATAAAAAAAAATAGCAAATACACCCATTTTATATCCATATAGCTAGAGACTAATATTATGTCTATTGATACCATCATTGCAAAAAAAAAAAAAAAAAAAAAAAAAAAAAAACAAATGGAAACCAAGGAATAACATTAGATGGGTGAAAAGAGAAAATAATTAAAATCACATCCAAACAAAATTTTGAGATTTTGAAAAAAGGAAAGAAAAGTATAATTTAATATACTATAGAATGGAATTGTACAACGAGACTACGAGAGAAAATAGAAAGATAAAGAAATAAAAAGAAGTTGAGAAACGAGCAAAAAGAAAACAAAGAAAAGGGACATGAAATGACACGAATAAACGAAAAACGTTGCAATTTGTCGGGTTCCGATCTTGCATCCTAGGGCTGGGGAGTTACAAGTTTAACCATGGCACCTACAATTAAGTTGTGATGTTAGGTATCAAGCTTTAGTATATAACTCTTTTTATGTAAAATACCAGTACATAGATACAATTTTACCCGAGCGACCGGGTGGCGTGGCACCCCAAGTCAACTACGTAGATCCGCCCCTGCGCGTCATGATCTCCTTTCCCAAAAAAAAAAATTAAAAAAAGATTAAATGAATATATTTTATGTCTGCTAAAATTAACAAACAAAAAAAAGTCAAACAATAACCGACCCTAGGGTGAACTGGTATCATTCATCCTCTTACAATTATTAACAATAAGGGGTCGTCTGGTAAGATATATAAGAATAGTACTGATTATAGTGTATTAGTAATGCTGTGATTAGTTATGTTAAAATTAGTTATAGTGAAATTATTTCTTATGGATTGTTTGCTTTGTGTATTAAAGGTTTTGAAAGGACAATTATGTCTTTATACATGCTTATCCATGTACTAAAAACCATAATATTATTAATGTCATGGTTTGTTATGTATAAGAATAATGTTGAATACCAACAAGGGTTGTGGTGGAGTGGTAATTAAGTACTCCTTCATCCTTAACCAGAGGTGGGACTTCCCGGCGCGAATCCGGATTTAGTCGGGCCCCAATGTGGGTACCAGACACCGGATGGGAAACCAAAAAAAAAGAATAATGTTAAATAGGGTGAAAAATACAACCAAACAAGAGATTAATAATACGAAGCTAATACATATATTATTTTCTCTAATATATCCTACCAAACGATCCCTAAGTATTAAAAGCCGTTGGCCAAGCTGCAAAAAACTACTTATTTTGAAAAGTGCTTTTATTCAAAAGTGCTTTATGAAAAAGTATTTTTGCAAAATAAGTAGTTTGTGTTTGGCCGATTCGTTTGAGTAGTGCTTTTTGCAAGCTCATTGTGTTTGGCCAATCTTTTAAAAAAGCACTTTTAAGCATCAAATTACGAAAAGGGGCAGTAAAAGTTCAATTTGCGATTAGTATTATTCAACATTTTGTAGAAAAGAATTCCATTAAAATATAAAATGTAAAGTAAAAATATAAATAAAAAGTTCTCATTAATATAATACAGTTATTCCAAAACAATAATATTGAGTGTTTATTATTACTTATTATTTACATGATAATTTAAATATGTTAAAATACATCATTCAATATAAATTCAAAATCTACTCTTAGGATATAGGAGAAAGAGAATAAAAATATAATTAAAATAAAAAAGAGAATAAATGCATAGCAGAAATAAATAAATAAAAAAAAGAAAAAAGGAAAAGGAAAAGAAAAATTAAATTAATGAGGGATAATTTAAAAAATAAATTTATTGTAAGGTTAATTTTGTCTTGAATAAATTAACTTTCTACTTCTGCTTTTGCTTTTTGGAAGAAGCTATAATTTTTAGCTTCTCCCCAGAAGCAGAAAAATTGCTTCTGCTGCTGCTCAAAAGTACTTTTTCATTTTGGCCAAACATCTTAAATTTTTCAAAAAGTGCTTTTTTGACCAAAAAAAAAAGGTACTTTTGACCTCCTAGAGAAGCTTGCCAAACAGGCTCTAAGTATGTTATTAGGACAAACCTCTACACACAGTCCTAGTTGTCATGGGCGTGTTTTATGTCACACAAAACCAGCCCGCACGGCAGCCAAGTCTCAACTTGACTTCAGCCTGCTCCAACACTTAGCCAAATTTTCAGTAAATTTGGACTTAGAATAATTTAGGCAGCTTTTCAACGTAGTAAGCTTAGACTGATTTTAGGCAACGAAAAATAGATGAAGGTACAGAAAATAAAAGTGAACACAAGGCACAATATACAGGAAACTCTTTTCCCAACTTTATATTTAACTCGAGCATACAAAGAAACTCAAACTCAAAGTACATTCGTATACAAAAGAAGATCACTCTTGACCCTCACACGACTACTCTTAGCCTTAGGTTGTTTTCACTCTTGAAAACAGATTTAGGACTCTTCCTAACTCAATAGTGTGCTCTCACACATTTTTCACTCCTGCTCCAAAGGGAATGGGTGCTGTCCATTTATAAAATATGAACCAGCCCCATTTCTTACAATAGTTGCCCATTTTTAGGCTTAAACACTTGCCCACTCATCCCACTACTTTAGTCTAGTGTAGTTGACAACCCCAACTACTAGGATCATGTAAATCATGCTAAAGAATAGTGGGATCATGGCCCCAAAAATGTGCTAACACTCCTGCCTGCTTTTAGGACAAAGCCAACTGCTGCCCATGTGCACAGCATGTGCCGTAACCGCCTTTGACTTAGTCAATCTGAAGCTTGGTGCCCATTTTCGTGCCTTGGCTTGGACCAGGCGCCAATGCCATTGTATCCAGCTGCATTGTGCCCCAATTTTCCTATGCCATCGCCCACGAACATGGCCCGTTTGCCGCAACTCAATGCCATGACAAGTCTGACCGCACACTGCCTTCCCGTTGCACATTAGCCTGCCTTTGCCAATCCGTCTTTGCCTTGCCTTGGCATCACTGCCTCATGCCTTGATGCCTTTTCCATGATCAAGTGTCACCCATAGCCCACAACTCATTGTCAAGACCTTGCCAAGCTGCCTCGCCTCCGTCAAAGCCTTGGCCATCAC